ATATATTAAAGAAATATGTGAAATTAGAGAAATTGGAGATCGCTAAGAAATTAGTGAAATCCGAGAAATCAGAGAAATGTTAGAAAGTTGAGATTCGTGATCGACATGATTACGATTCGTCAATTAGGTTAGGCGCAGTATCGTGCGTCATAGCAAGACTATCACTAACAACGTATTTTGTAAAATAAAATCCTTTTCTTTCCTATTATTTATTTCGATTGTTATGATTTACCCTATCACAATTAACATTAAATACAATAAAGTTTATAAATCACCTCTCGTGAAATTAGGAGGAAATACAGATTATTAACATACCGTTAGTAATATCGTATCGTTCGTAAAAGGTTCATAAAATGAAAACGTGACTCGTTAGGCAATGATTGAATATTAACTAATGAATGGTAGAATATTTCTCGATATGAGTGATCTTTAAATAGAAGCGCTTTAATTTAATTTGGGCGTTGATTATATCAATAATATTCATTTGGGTACAGTATTATTTTTTATCCGGTGGATTCATAAATCATGTGACTAGTTGTAGTTGCTGCGGCAGTAAATAATAAATTTAATATTACAAAGAAAATAAAGTTAAAATGCAAAATTTTTATTCTAAATTTTAAATTGCATTACTAGATACATATATATTGCTTATTCATTTATAATTATTATTCTATTTATTATTATATTTTATAAAGCTTAAGTTCATTTCAATAATTTTTTTCAAACAATAAATAAATTAATTTTGATAATGTCCAATTTGATAAGCTTCTCCAGGTGGATTACGTTCTTCAGATACAACTTTATCACCAGATCCAGATTCAACAGGTTCAGGAGAAACATAACTATTACGTCTATCATTACTCTTACGCTTGCGTCTGTAAATAAATATTATGGATGCAACAATTATAACAGTACCTAAAGTTCCACTAACTGTTGCTATTATAATTTTCATTGTGAATTGACGTTTATTAAATTTGTTAATTGGTTCGTTTGTTGGTTTTGTTCCTGATTTATTTGTTGTTTCATTTCCTGTTGATCCCTTTGTATTTATTATTGTTGCTTCAAATGAATTCACCCAAGTGTAATTTCTAATATCCATTAAATAAATATTGGGATTCTTTAACGCCAATGGTTCGGAATTTGGTTGCGTGATATTTCCTATCATATAAAAATAATAAATCAATTGATTAAATAAATTAATTAAACATTTTGAGCTACTTGAATAAATTAATCAACGTAACTTACCAAAAGCTACAACCATATAATTTCCAACAAGATTAGCCGTGTGCGCTGTTAACGTTGGAACTTGACCAGCATTTGATGCAATCTGGGGTACATCGAATTCAAATTGTTCTGCTTCCATATTTAAAACGAAAATTTCTGGAGTAACTGGAGCGTCGAGAAGGTTTGCCATGATCTTTGCACCTCCGTGAATAATGATGTTACCTTCTGGGGCTTTTTAAAATTAAAAAAAAATTAATTCAGGAAACGAGAAAATCATAAAAAAAAAGGTTTGAAGATTTTTAAGCCATGATAATAAATTTTTTTATAATTACTTAATATGGCTGCATGTCCGCTACGATTATCGATTGTGCTTGAAGTCACACATACTTTTAATGACCAGGTTAAAGATTTCGTGTCATAGAGATAAACCTGTTTAATGTCCACTTCTCGGGACTCAACAAATTCCAAACCACCAATGTACGCAATAAAACCATTGGATAAAAGTGTTGCGGTGTAACTATGACGTTTACTTGGAGCGTTGACTGGGGTATTAATGGACACTGATAATTCAACCGTATTCAAGGTAATCATATCGTTAAATAATTTTGTTGTCTCCGCACCCAAGCATGTGCAAGTACGTCCTCCAAAGATATACATATTTCCGGCATTATCGATAACACTTTTTATGGCTCTACGTCTTTCGGGTGCAATTCCTATAACGTTAGGAATATTCCATGATGAGGAATATAAATTAAATGAATAGACGTTGGATATAAAAGAGTCTTCATCCTTCATTAAGTTATATGTGGATCCACCAAATAAATATATCGTTTTCTGTACTTCGTTTGATGAAACAGTTCCCCAGCAACTTTTGAGTGGTATTCCTGAATTTAACGTAAGGTCAGTCCATGGCGGTGTCTCCGTAACAAATGGTTGCGATACATCAAGATAGAATACTTCGTTTGAACACGCTTTATCATCTATCACACCGCCAAAAAAATAAAGTTTATTTTCAGCAAGTACTGACGAATGCGCTATACGTCCTACCGGAGTAAATGATTCAACTCCAAAGAAAAAATAGATCAACATGAAAATGTTTACCAATTTATAATTTTTGTAAGTCATAGTTCCAATTAATGCAAAAAAAAAAAAAAATTATTGTTTTTTTTTTTCGATGATTAATCGAACTAGACTTAATTGAATTCTCGCTCGAAAAGAAAGCATTTAAATGGAAATAAAATTTCATTTTATTATAATCCTTCATTTGGAAAAAAATTTAATTGGTATTTCATAAACAAATAAATTGTTGCATATAATGGTGATGCTGCGCAACTTAATTTTGTGATCCACAAACCTTATTTTAGTAGTCGCAGTTACATCAAATTCTCGCTTCCTTTATGTAAAAACAATCAAAACAATTCTTTACTCGGCCTTTATTTTTATTTTATTTTTTTTATTTAGCAATTGCGAACGCTAAAAATTTTATTAACATTTTATTTTGAAAGTGACGCTATTTCATGTTAATAATAACATGTATCGTGAAAGACTAATGAAATGATGTCAAAATAATAAATGCTTGCCCCTAATAAATATTTGCTATTGCATACTTTGATAAATTTCCTTTAAAGGAATATTTTTAATTTTTATTATAATCAAAATTTTTAATTACTGAAATACATACATGAGAGCGATCTTAGGCTTTAAATTAGAACTTTCTATATTGTACATGATATATTTATGTTGCATTTATTTTTTATTTATTTATTTTTTAATTTAAATTCAAAACACGTGATTTCTGCGGTATCAAGAATAACAATGGTGATTTTAACACGAAAGGTAATTATTAAAGTGAACTTAACAATATTTATTTTTCGCTACTCTCGATTCTTTAAAAATACTTCTTCGTTATGGCTCTACCAATAAGTAAAAAAATTACCCTTAAATATTAAGATAACAAAAATGAATCCAGCAAAAGGATGTCGTGCATGAAATTTATTACTCGGAAATAACTGAATGACAAAAAAGTTTATTTTTTTCCGTAAATGATTAATTAAGTAAAAAAAAATATAAGTTTAATGAAAAATTTCTTTATTTTAATTAAATTTTAAAACATTAAACTTTAAATTATTTTTTAGTTCTGTAAATTTGTTAATACATGATAAACTTTAAATTTATTAACATGATAAATTTACTGTAAAATTAATAAATCGTACAATACATTCGCGAATTTGTTCCAGTAGTTATATAAAAACCATAATGATAAATTGTTTTTCACAGAAAACTTTAAAAACAAACTTCCAAAAATAGAAATTTAGAGGTTATATGAATTCATAATCAAATAAATTTCAAAAGGTTTGGTATTTATTTCAAATATTTGGGTATTTTATCATCATGATGGCAAGTCATAATGAAAGTTACAAACTCTAAACTTTCATTATTGCGACAAATACTTTATGTATTACTTTATTAACCTATCATTTGATGTGATTTTTAGAGATGATCTTAAAACCACGTGTTCATTATTTAGTCGCAAAAAAAAAAAAAATAAGATGAATTAAAAATTTAAAATTATTGGAATTGGACGACAATAGTCCAACGAATTGAAACGGAACGGGAAGCATGCCTTTCACTTACTACGCCAATCAATTTTCGTAATCAATGATCAAATAATGACGCAATAATGAAATAACAATGGCATAATGTTTTTAATGTTTAGACTATTACATTATAAATTAGGCTCCTAGATCAATTTTTTCTCTACAAATTACATATTTGCAATTTCCCATTTACGATTTTTCTTACCACACTTCCTTCCCTGCTAGTGTATAGTATAGTTTATAGGTCGTGGTGTTCGTGATTTGATGTTATACATGCATCAAAAATATCTTGGTAGAACTTTGCAATTATTAATATAATTTGGTCATAATTCTTGACCAACATTTCGGTTTACAGGCTATATGCTGTGAACGGCTCCTAATATTGTTCCGATATAGTAATGTTTCAAATGGTATATGAAGTTGGTTCCGAACAATGACCTAAGTAAATATATCTAACAGTCTAAAGAAATCTTAGGGTTGTGTTTCGTGGCTGTTGATTGACTCAAATTCCTTCCAACAATATTTCGAAATTAACTTGATCTTTGGATTGATTCATCCCCTAGCTTAGATTTTCATTTGAAAATAACCAAATTTTTATCCAGATTATGTAAGGGATAGTGTTCAATTGTTAACTGGATAAGTAACTTGAAACTAAAATTAAATATAATACGAGAGAAATTATACTATCTGTGGTTAAAAACTTGAACAATCCAATATTTTATTAGAAACTTGAAGGATTCGATAGAAGAAACAGTATAAACCAAGTTTAATAGTTGAGTGGATATTTACGTCAAGTCTATTTTAAAAGCTACGACAGATACTACGAAATCAACGTTATTAAAATGGAATATAAGAGAGGTATAATTGATTGAATATTGGTTGCTTTTGTATGTTTCACAAAAAATAATCATTATGGTAGTTTAAAAATATGGCAAGATTCACGAAATTCCTGATGACTAATTAGGAAATCGTGGTAAATAAAAAATTTGTCGTACAAATTCCGAAATTCTATTTATTGACATTTCCTGAATCATAATTATTATTATTATGTAATATTTATTTAGTGAATACAAAATTTTCTAAATTTTTTTCATTTTTTTTTTTTTATTCGGTGTCCCAGTATCGTTCAAAATTATGGCACTTTATATATTTCACACTTTCTGAATTCTAAGGTATGATCTTTTCATCAACAATGAAATCGATGATTGAATCGTTGTGCATAAAATATATTTCATAAAAGATTATCGTAAATCTTACGTTGCTTTATTTTCAAAAGTGATGCCTATAAGAATAATTATGGAACAAGGATGGTAATTACACATTTCGATCTTTAAGCATCACTAATATACCAACCAATAACAGATGAATCGTCATACACATCGTTAATCTAATCTTGTCTAGCACCAAAAAAAAAGCGCAGAGAAACTCAATTTGAAATTTTCTTTCTCAATACTCATTTTAAATGGAACGTTCACAAATCCTGAAGTTATAGATGAAGGAACAATAGAATTTTCGGTACGTTTATATCTTGACTCATTATAAAGAAACAAAGCGCATACCCAACGATCCCAGTAAGCTCCAAAAGTCTTCATCAACGTTTCCTTTATAAGTGGCAATGAATTAAGCCACCACCGGTTCTGTCCAACCGATAATCAGGGTTCAATCCTAACCCACGAAGTTTTGCGACCTTTTCCTGAAGGTGTACCTAATTTTCCAAGGTGCCATCAAGTGTAACCTTTGGAATACCACAACCACCACGCATACAATATTTTTTTATCGAATCCAATAATATAACTTGACTAGCGGTGATGGATGCACTTGTTGAAGTAGAGAAATCACATTCGAGTAATTGTTTTAAACCAACTTTTTTAAATCGTTGTTCGGTAGAATCAGAAAGTCGAGATATCGTTTTCAGCCAATTACCTAAGAAATTACCGTTGATATATACTATAATGTCTTGAGAATCTATAAAGACTTCTTCCTGACCTTCATGATCGACGAACAAGTAACGAAAACTTTCAGCATTATTTCAAATGTGATATCTGACACCTTGTGGTATAGTTAACCACACGTCATCTGGTGAGAGGATCGAGAAGGTGTAAGCATGAATGATCGCTGAAGCCAATCCATGTGAAGTGGCAGGTTCCCATATTACTGTAGTTGAATTGGATTTCGAACTTTCCGCGTGGTATAACGAGAAGACACGTAATTTGTATTAGGCTTAATATCTCCGTGTTTAAGGAACTCATTTTTTGGTTCAATTTTATCAGTTATTTTTTGGGTTTCATCACAATACAATGGATGGTTAATTTATTTCAAAAAAGAATTTACTGATAAATTTAAAAAAAAAAATAATATTACTAATTAAGGTAAAAAAGAATCATCTGTGCGGTTTAAATTATTGATCCTGAAAAGGAATTTTAAAATACACAATATTATTTTTTACGTGAATTATTAGACAATTTATTTTATGGGGTATTCGTGCCTATAATAGTAAATTGATTTCGGTGCTTAAACTACAATATACTTTAAATGTCACGCGAGGAGGAAGTGTTATTTATTAGGGTTATTCAAGAAATTTACTTTACAAAATCGTATTTTTTTTCTCAGTAATCTTTATAAACCTAGGTTTCTTGTTTTCGCATTATTTGTCAATTGTTAATCACTGTACATATCACGACAATACTGGTGTGAATATGAAGAGAAATATGTTTCTTCAGCCACAAAATAAATTATTTCTCAATTTAGCGAGATCATATATGAATAATGCTCTTTAAAATATAGGAACATGACGAAATTCGAAAATTCTTTTCTTTTTTAATTACATATTTCGAAAATTTACTTTAGCAAATTTTAAAATATGATTAGTATTGTATAATTTTAATATTACAAGTACTACGTTTTCCCAGAAATTGCTCTAAATTCAAAAAATGGAGCATATTTATCTGCGTGAAATTTCGAATTTTGTATTGATTTATGCATTCTGTGAAGCAGATTCTTAATAAATATGGCACAAATAAGTTTCGAGGAGTTCTCGTCAAAATTAACAAATGGAAGTGGCTAATAATAATACAGCATATCTCCTTCACTACCTTTTTGATATGTAGAAATTCCAAAATTTATTTTTAAAGAAATTAATTATAACAAGATCATAAAGGGCACCTTTTAATGAGTAATGGGTGGGAGTATATTAATAGGTTGGACAATTGCTTCTGTATAGGTGCCGAACGTTTCATTTTAAACACGTGGAATTAATTTTAAATGCGCAATTTAGTTAGTAGTTGAAAGGTAAGGTATACAAAAAACAGATAAATTTTAAATATTAATAATTGTATAAACGATCAATGTTAAATTAATAAATATGAATTAAATATTTAAACGATAAAACACGATTAGATTTCATTTGATAATTAATTGCGAAAGGTAATTGTCAAAAATAGAAAACACATAAAATGTTCATTTTTTTTAAAAAAAATAATTACACGTGCGTATTGACCACTTTTTAATTAATAGCTTTTATAGTCCAATATTTATTTCATGAAAATATTCACCACCATACAAAATACCCAGTATTACTCAAAATATCCTCTAAAAGCTTGAATTAATTGAGTAATATGGAAAGTGAGAGATGAAAATAATAAGTAAAAAATAAAAAACAAAAATAAATATAACCTAATAAATAATATATGGCTACAGCTTATTATTTAAAGAACTATATAACACAATTCAAATTCTTGATGTATTTCTTAAAATATGTTTAGCCATATTAAAACTAATAAAAAGGTCTTAAATTAAATAATAAATCGTACTTTGTTTGTATTGTATTAAGTTAAGTCTGTTAGATTAAGAAAGTTTACTTTTATGGATAATAGAAGTATAATTAATATAGTCTAATTTGTATAAATTAAATTCAATCGATAATATATTAATATAATACATACCTTCATTTGAGTTATCGATTTCCGTTTCATTTGAGATATTTTGATCTTCATAAATTGAGTTATCTATTTTAAGATCTGTTTTTTCTTTGATAGCTGGCTTTTTCTTTTCAATAATCATTTCTTCTATTTCTTTTGATACTTTTTTAATATTTGGTCTTTTCTCTGGCATTGCATCCCAACACTCTTTATAAAGTTCCTCATAATCTTTAGGGGTCCCTTCTATAGCTTTTTCACGATGTCCTTCACAAATTTTAATATGAAGTAAAGCTTGATCAGGTTGACTAGTTAAACATTTAAATGGGGGAAACCCACTAGAAATTTCCCACATTATCACTCCATAACTGTAAATATCTGAAGCTTTCACATATTGAAAATCTAAATTTTTTAGTTTTTCAGGATCTACGTATGGAATCCTACCAAAAGTTCCGATATGAATACTAGAATTTTGTGTATTCATATTTTTTGAAATACCAAAATCCGTAATTTTAGCATAACCATCATGAATTACTATGTTCTTAGAATGCTAAATTAAAGTAGATATATTAAATAAATAAAGAATTTAATCATAATAATTAATTAAATAAAAATAAATACTTACAAGATCTCTATGCAGAATATTTTCATTGTGTAAATAATTTAATCCATTAGCGATTTGCAAAGCTAATTTTTTCTTATCATTCCAAGTTAGTGTTTTAAAATTGTTTTCAAGATAATTTTGAAGATCACCACAATTTGCATATTGCATTATAAGAAGATATTCTTTTGAACTAGGATCTATAAAAATTGACATTTGTAATAAATTTAATAAAAATATTTTTTATATTTAAAAATAATTATTAATTAATTACCTTGACTGATACCTAAACAACGAATAATTTGATCACTTGAATCAAGATGTAAATGAATTTGCAATTCATGAATAAAGGCATTTAAAATGTTATTTTTAATAGATTTTATATCAGTTAACCTTTTACAAACAACTTCGCTTCTTGTTTTAATCCAAATTGCTTTCTTAATACATCCAAACGCCCCACTGCCAATTTCTTCAAAATATTTTAATTCATGAAATAATATATTTTTAACCTTTTCATTTTTTATAGCATCCTTTATCCATTTAATTGCATTATATTTTTGAATATCTTTTTGAACAATATTAAATTCTATATTACTTTTATATGTATAATCAAGAGATGATACAACTTGCTGCATATTTGGACGTTTATCTGGTTCATATTTCAAACAATCTAAAATATATAAATAAATGAATCTTCACAAATTAGATTTGTTAAATAAATTAATATTACCATTACCTGTATATAATTTATAATAATCAATAGGAGTATCAGAAATAAATTCTTCTTTTCTTTCTTGTGTAATATTATTTTCATCTTCATCATAAAATGGTTGACATCCACTTGAAATTTGTCGCATTAGTACACCAATACTATAAACATCAGACTTTTTATTTAATTTATAGTTTTGATCTGTTAAAATTATTGGATATATATACGGTTTAGAAATTTTAGATATTTTATCAATTTTTTTTGTTAAATTAAGATTCTTTAATTTAATATTTTTCTGATGAATAAATATGTTCTCTGCTTTCTATAATTGATATTTATAAAAAAATAATTAAAATTAATAATTATAAATATATAAAATAACTTATAAATGTATTTATTACCAGATTATAATAAATAATATCATTTTCATGTAAATATGATATAGAACTAGTAAGTTGCATTACTAATTTATACTTTTCATTCCAATCAAGTTTATTAGAATATTTATTTAAATAGGAATTTAATATATTACTATCAGCATATTCTAAAACTAAAATGCATTTGTGTATTTCTTAAAAATATTAAATATTTAAAAATGAATTATTATTTAAATATTTTCATTTAAATCAATAAAGTTTTTATAAATATTATAAAAATACTTACCTATTTTAATACTTGTAATCCCATAAAATTGTATAATATTTGGATGATACCTAATTATTTGTTGTAATTTTAACTATTCAATTTATATAAATATTTTGTAATTAATGAATAAACTTAATTTAATTAGTAAAATAAATTATTATTACCTCTTGTTTTATTTCTTCAATAATTCTAATATTATAATAATTATATATTTTCATAATAACAAAATTATCTGCATATTTCCAATTAGCATAATAAATAGTTGTAATGTACTACTGATTTTTTTTAGATTTTTAAATTCTGAATATTTATAATTACAAAAATATTTTTCTTGATCTATAATTTCATATAAATTTTTTTGATCTAATATTTTCTTTAAGTTATATTTATCCACATTATCATCTATATCATCTATTAACAAGAAAATTTCATTTTTATTTTTTTTTATTTAAATCTAAATTTAATATTTCATTTAATCTTTCAGTAAAATTAAGTGAACGACTTGTATGATAAGCTTGTAAATGAGATTTAATAATAATTTTATTACTATTATTATTATTAATATGCTTTTGATATAATTTTTATCAGCTTTATAAAATTCAATAATTTCATTTTTTAATATTTTATCAAAATTTTTCTCTTTAATATTTTTTATCAATTTTTAATAATCTTTTTAATTTCTAATACAATTGGTCTTTTAAATGGATCCATATCCCAACATTTTTTCATTAAATTTATATAACATTGTGGAGTATCTTTAATAAATTCAGAACGTTTACCTTCACAAATACTTGTAACAAGTTGATTATTATGAGCTTCATTATCATATGGAGGAATTCCAGAAATAAATTCCCACATAATCATAGAAAAACTATATATATCAATAGCTAGTATATGAGGTTGTCCTCTTAAAACTTCAGTTATAACAAATGGTAAAACACCATAATTTTCATCATTTTTAAATGATTGAAAATATTTAACAAGCTTACATAATCTTAAATCACTAATAGATAAAATATTTTTACACATATTTAAAATATTACTATGATGAAGATTACAATGAATAAGTCTTTCTTGATGTATTTCATCAAGTCCACTAATAATATTAAATAATTGGGATAATTTAATAATCCATTTATCCTTAACTATATTTAATAAATTTTTTCTTAAATTACTATTTTTTGCATATTGCATTACTATCATATAATTTGAAGTATTTGGTTCTTGAGTAAATCCATATAATTGAATAAGATAGTTATCTGAATATCTATTTAATTGGCTATAGCATTCATAATAATATTTTCACTAAAATAATAAAAAATTAATTAAAAACTTATTATTTAATATTAAAAGATTCATTAATTTTATATCTCATTTAAAAATTCTTCATTTAAATTTGATGAATTATCAAAACATTTAAGAGATACTTCTATTTTATTACTTTTGATCCAATTATTATCATTATATAAATAAGATTTAATAATTCCATCTAACAATGTAGCTTTATATATAGTACTAAATCATTCTTTATCAAGAAATGTAATATTTACTAATTTATTATAAGAAATCCATTCTAATATTTGTCATTTATTTTTTGTATTTAATTGAATATCTTGAATAAATTTATCAATAAATTTATTTTTACTAGTCCAATTAGAAAAATTTTGTTGAAAAATTTTAGAATTACATGTTTGACACCATTTATATCCAGTATTCTTTTTATTACAATTTGAGCATATGCCTAATTTTCTAAATAAATATATTATATTATTAATATTATGATTATAATAAAATTATAATCTTAAATATAACACTTACTAAATTTAATAAATTTATTATATTTAATAAATATCACAAATTTTATCATATATTTAAATTATTAATATTATTAATTAATAAAATAACTTACCCCCTTTAATATATTTATTTTTTAAATAAAAAATTTAATTGTATTTAAAATATAGTAAAATCATAATTAAATACTAATAATTAATAAAAATAACTTACAATCTAAAATATTAATTATTTTTTAAATAAAAACTTTAGTTAAGTTAATGTATATTATTAAATACTGATAATCAATAAAATAACTTACACTCTTTTATATATTTATATTTTTTAAATAAAAAATAAGTAGAATATAAATTATATTAAAAAGTATAAATAAATATCAATAATCAATAAAATAATTTACCATCAATATTATGATTATTAAATATTTTTTTTTAATAAAAAATTAGTTAGATTTAAAATATAGTAAAAAGTATAATTAAAATTGATAAATAACTTACAATCAATATTATAGAAATTAAAAATAAAATTTTATTAAATTTAAATTATAAAAAAAGTATTATTAAATATTAAATATCTTTTGTATTATAATTATCAAATATTTTTAAATAAAAATTTTTTTTTAATTAAAATTATAATAAAATGTATAATTAAATATTAATTATAAATAAAAATAATTTACCAACTATATATTATTAATTATTAAATATTTTTAATATAAAAATTTAATTGAATTTAAATATAATAAAACATATAATTAAATCTGGTAATCAATAAAATAACTTACAATCTATATTAATAAATATTAATTAAAAATAAAAATTTATTGAATTTAAATTATATTAAAAAGTATTATTAAATTCTAATAATGAAAATAACTTACCATCTTTTGTATTTTAATTATAAAATATTTTTAAATAAAAAATTATATTTAATTAAAATTATAATAAAATGTATAATTAAATACTAATTATTAAAAATAATTTACCAACTATATATTATTAATTATTAAATATTTTTAAAATAAAAATTTAATTAAATTTAAAATATAATAAAATGTATAATTTAACCTGATAATCTATCAAATAACTTATAATCTAAATTATAAAATATTTTATTTTTAAAATAAAGATTGTTAAATTTATATTATGATAAAATATTAAATATAAATAATAATAAAAATAATTTACCATCTATTATATTATAATTTAAAGTATTTTATTAAATAAAAATAAGTGGAGTTTAAATTATAGTAAAAAGTATAAATAATAATCAAAATACTTACCAACTATATTATAAAGTATTTTCAAATAAAAAATTTAATTGAATATAAATTAAGTAAAAAGAAAAATTAAATATTAATAATTAATAAAATAACTTACAAACTAAATCATAAAATATATGACAATTTAGTTAGATTTGTATTATATTAAAAATATAATTATTAATATTAATAAAATAAATAATACTTCCAGTCTAAGGCATTAAATGTTTTTTTTTAAATAAAATATTTAGTTAATTAAGTATAAATTATAGTAAAAAGAATAATAATTAATAAAATTAACTTACCTTCTAATTATTAAAAATTTTTAAATAAAAAATTTAATTAAGTTTAAATTAAGCAAAACATAATTAAATAACTGATAATTAATAAAAATAACTTACTATATATTGTATTATTAATTAATTTAAATAAAAAAATTTAGTTGAATTTAAAGAATTTTATAATAAAAGCATAATTTATTAATTAAAATAAATTACTTTCTGTAATATTATAAATATTTTATTATTTTTATAGTAAAATATTATAGTTAATTTAATAAAAAAATACAACTAACGTTCTATAATTTAAAATAAAAATTTAGAGAAGTTTAAATTGATAAAAAGTATAATAAAATATATATACTTAAAAAAATAACTTACTGACTAAAATATCACTAAAATATTTTAAAATAAATTAGTAACGGTAATGCAATATAAGACTTAAATTAATTACTTACTCCCTATGGTATTATTGATATTAGATATTGTTTAACTAAAAAGTTTAATTAAATTTAATTGTTAAAGGCATTTATAAAATTAAATGGCTTACAATCTAAGTATCATGGTAATGTAATTTAGTTTTTTTTAAAAAAAAATGCTAAAATTAAAATATTATTGTTTGACTTAAATAGATAAATGATTATTATCATTTAATTCTCTTAATGTAGGAGTATCAGGAGCATCTGATGCTGGCTCTATCAAAATGTATTCATTTTTGAGAATTAATTAATAAGGTTATATATATTATAGTCTATTTAAATAAATAAATATTCTTTACCATCTAATCCTTCTAATATTTTAACGAAGTTTAAACAAATTATATTATTTGTATTATATGTTAAATAATTATATTTGCTATTGTAATTACCTTCGTTACTCGAGACTGGTCCTATGTTGTAATTAATAAAATTTAGTGAACAAAAATGAATATATTTCACGAATTATATAGAATATATATTTTTTTACTTTTATTATACTTTACTTTTGTAATTGTTTGACATTTTATAAATTTATAATAAGAGTTTAAAAAAAATTTTTTACTTTTTCAAATTGTCTGATCATTTTCAACCAAAATTATGCTGTACAACTATGTACAGGCTGATGACGCAAAAATGTATTTATCATCTGACGTAACGGCCTGCTATTAATTATTTCAGCGACTTACGGTAATTTTTAAAAACGATTAAACTTTCGTCATATTCATTTTTTAAAAATTTTTTTTTTGATTGTTACATTTATTAGTGTATAGTATCATTAACCAAATCTGTTTAGATATTAACTATTTATGCAATTCATTTTATTATTACTCCTGATTCTTTTTTCTTAGAATTAGATTTAAATTTTTTTATTTATTCATGATTTTATTTTATTGGATGTGTATCCTTCTAAGATTTATATTTACAAAGACGCTTATAAATGCGATCAATTAACTTAAAAAATGATAAATAACAAACGAAGTAAGTTTTTATTAAGAAATTAGGATAATACAAAAAAAGAAAACCAAATATTACTGTACAATTCTGCCTGTATGAGAAGTTATTTAAATTCTTCTATATGAAATAAAGATAAAAACATAGTTTCTTAGTAAAAAAAAATATTTTAAAATCAATTGATCACGATCCGTAAAAATAAAGAAATAAAGGTATTCATTATCTGAGTAATAAACTTATTTGTTCAATACATCCTGAAAATAAGAAGGTGTCATCAGAAAGGTTAAATTAAATAAATATTAAAATAGGTTTATTTAAAGCAGCCCAAAAATTCTTAACCGGTTAATTAACTGGTTAAGTTTAACTTAGGCCAGCATTATAAATTTAGGCAAAACTAACGAAATTTTGTAATCACAAAAAATTTTAATTCTGCCTGAAAATTAAATTTTGGCCAGAGTTATAATTAAATTATTTTAAACGGTTAAAAAAATTCTTTAGCCAGTGTTAGCTTAAACGATTCGTCATTAAGTTAACTAAGATTATTTGCTAACATGGAGTTTAAATGCATCTAAATTATAGAAGAAATAAACACAAATTAATTGTATTGAAGGGTCAGGTCGTCTTTATCGATATAAATTTAAAGAAGTATGAAATTGTATAATGAGCAAAGATATAATTGTTAAGAGATAAATGTTATTGATTTATTAAAGAATTGTAGCGACTCTGCCATTTATTGAGGCAGAAATACAAG